GTGTCTCACGTCAATTATAACAATTTAATTGTCACACATTAATTGCATAGATTATTTTCATACAAATATAGCATCAAAATTTAGCTGACATCAAAATTATAACAGTGTTAGTTCGGTGATAAATTTCTTTCCATTCTATAAACGATTTGCATAAGTAACGCAATGCGCAAGATATTGTTGAAACTATTTTCACTTTTCATAAATCAGTCATATTAGTACATTAAAGTCGCACATTGTAGAGATATTTAGATAAATCGCAGAGGCTTAAAATGATTTATCGAGTGATCATTTCTTAAGTTCACTAATTTATTGTTAGTTAAACATGTAAACTGAACATATAACAGAAACAACGCCAACAAGCAATAAATACACCGATCCGCTGTTTCGTTTGCAGTGCCAATTTTGCAAGATTAGATTCGCTTTTAGATGTGATTCATTGTCTTTATCTTACAGCTTTTAATAGCAAATCATTAGATGACATCAAAGATCAAGCTTCACTACAAGCTCGATGCCAACCTAAACAGTTGAAAATGTTATATACTCGTACTCGTTCACGTTAATTATAGCTCGCTTCACTGCATTGTAATTCGATTCCATGAAAGCTACGCTCGTGCAATTAGAATAATTCACAGATTCGACATTTAATTTATTTTAAGTACTGAGATTTATTTATACATCAACAGTAAACTATTACGGCTCGAGTAGGATGGTATAAATAACGTTGTGCTTTCAATATAAGCGGCCAACATTTTGCAAATCTACAAATGAATGAGACGTCTAACGAAAATAATTAGAAAGCCTTGCTAGTACAGAACGTCACGTGACGGCGAGGGGTTGCGCGTCTCGAACGCCAGACATTCTAGCTAGGTCTTTGCACTTGACCACTTCCTGGTTGCCAGAGTTACGTCCTCGTCGGGTTAGCCAGGTCGAGTCTCTCACTGTTAATCACTCTCGACACGTTGAGCGAAAGAAATAGTCTCGAGCTCGACGAACATTTTCAGCGATTTATGTTGCTCAATCTCTGACATCTGAAAGTTGTATATTTCAGATTCTTCTAAAATTCTTATAAACTTAGATTTTCATAAAATTTTATTTCAACATATATTATTATTAGGGCGCGGATGTTCGTGCACGATCCCGTGTCGCGCGCAGAGAACCGCTGCGTGCGAGTGAGTCGAGTATACACATTATACACGATAGATATATTGAATTCAGATGAATTGACAATCGGGTTTTCTCGAGAAATGCTACCTCAGCGAGTACTCGACTCACTCGCACGCAGCGGTTCTCTGCGCGCGACACGGGATCGTGCACGAACATCCGCGCCCTAATTATTATTATATTATTTTTTAAATGTATCTTATTTTATTCTGAAGTACCTATAATTAAATTACACGCTTGTAGCAAATAGCCAATTTACTCCGTAAATAGCTCAGTTAACGAGTTTTGCGAATCAAATGCATTTGATTGAGAAAGTTCTCGAGTTTCTTCACAGAGAATCGTGTCCAATAAGGTAACGAATTATATATAACAGACCGATAATAAATACGTCGTGACAAAAATGAAGGACAAAAACGAGTTCGCGAGAATATACGGCACAATTTGGGTCGTGCGCCATCAACATATATTAAAGTTAAGATAAAAGAAACGACGGAGCGAAGAGAAAGACGGAAAGAGGAGTGTATTAACGTTGCTGTGAGTGGTGCGAAAGGAGATCACGGTCGATTCGGTGCAGGCACACCTCGCGTCAGGTGGTGTGGGACTCGTTCGCTGTCCTGAGGGAATGATCCCGGCGGCAGACTAGACAAAGTTCCGCCGTCTTAGTCTAATTTCGGTCGGCTCGCAAACGAGTTGCGTGGCTTTTCAGATCCGGTGGCACGCTTTTCTCCGACCGTGGCCACGCTGCCCGTTGTTCGATCACCGACCGAAATAGCATTGGCATTGTTCCGTTTCCCTCCAGAAGAACCGGCTCTTTCGAGCGCGGACAAGGAGGTCGACTAATTTCAACCCCTTCACCTCTGCCGCCGCCGTCGCAACCGCGCCACTACGGCTGATAGGATACGATGTCGTGGATCCGCGCTCTTTCGCTCGATCGGGATTTACACATCGATCAATCTCTTGAGAGATCTCGATGTGTTTGCCGTTGTTTTTACGACTCATCGATTAGCCATTACCTGCGAATCCATATGTAGGAAGGTACCGCTCCGAACCTGCTCTTTTTCGGACAGAATCAAGGTCCTCTGTCCAACGAATCAAACTCACTTTTCGATAAGAAATAATCTGGTTGTACGCTTCAACGGTTTAAAACTACAGCACTACTTGTAGCCGTCAAATTAATATTCATTTTTTATGCTACTATTTTTTATTTATTCTGTATACCTACTGCTTTTTTATACTCATATATTTTTATAATTTTCATTAATATGTGTAGGATAAAGAACTATAAATTACTTGGCTATTTTTCATGTAAAATTTCTAACTTTTGTAGCAACTAAAATCGCATAATAAATCAGCAATAATGTTCTATATTTCATTCGAGATTTTTGGCAACGTCAAGCAAATATATATGTTATGCAAGAGACTGTAATCTCCGCGTCCGTTCTACATGATCGAGATATATATACTTTAATAATTGCGCAATGTACAACGAGACATAAAATTTACACTTGTGATAATATTTTAGTATCACGAAACAGTTTCAGAAATCAGAATAATAAATTTTTAAATATAACATGCTTCACTTTTTTCTTCAAAATTAGTTTCAGTATTATTTAGATACTAAAAAATATTTATTGGCTCGTAAACTTTATTGATTAATTTTTGTAATAAAATTTTTTTCAGACAGAAACACAGTAAAACAACTAGATTATAAATTAGCAATTAAAATTAATAAAATTTGCGTAGTAATAACGGTCAATCTACATTTTTTTTCTTATATTAGTATGTTTTATTTATCTTTTAGATTTCTCTTGTACTAATTGGATTTTATTAGTGTTTGGAAATCTAAAGGGAGATATATTCTTAACATTATTAAAAGAAATGTATATTCTCTTTAATATGCACGCTACTTGTTATACGCTAAAAATAATGGCTCAATCGTCCACGAACGATTCATAAAACCACTAATAATAGCCGATTCGATCGATCAAGTTAGAAGTGCGCTCCACATGGCTAACAGCGATTGTGAATATTTATGTTGTGCAAAAAAAAAAGTAATCTTTTATCCAAGCGCTGCATTTATACCACAGTCGCTTCGAGTTTAATGAGATGAAGTCATGCATTATGGCTCTTTACGTTGTGGATCCCGTCCAAACAAAAGAGGATTAATTATGATTGTCCGCCACTCGGTGGACACCCGACGCGTCGAATAATCTGACGTCGAAAAATCTGCGGTGCGGTGCGAGACCCCGCAAGACGCAGCGCCGATTTATTTTGGTTTGCATCCCAACACGCTGTCGACGTGTACGTTTATTTTCGGCGCCGGTCGGGAAAGTGGTCCGGACCGGTGGATTGCGCAGCCGATGCTCCATCATCCACTCGTGACGGCGTGTTTCGCGGCAATTCTTCATCCTCAGATCCCATCGCGCGCGTGGCTTCATAGAATTTTAATGCCGCGTTATTTTTTTATAAATTGACGTAATAAGCTACGCCAAACTCAACTACAACGTTCGTAAGAATTAGATATTTACCAGTAATATGCGGCAAATTTTTTAAATAATAACAATTGTAAATACAATTCATTAGATAACTATGTTTCCGACTTTTCCTTTTTTAAATTTAGCCCGAGGTTTGCTCCGACCGTCACATCGTTATTTTGTTTTCCCACTCGCGTCGAGAAACGAGATGGCGATAAATCAACGAGACTGCGGTTGAGGCGCCTTCCGTGAAATTCGATTCTTTCGAATGCCATTGTGATTGAACCGTTCATTCAGCATCGCATTACGCGAATGTGGCTCTTCGATAACCCCGTTCTGCCGTCGCTCCGATATCTTCTCGTTGGAGATGCGCCAGAGCGAGGTACCGCGCGCAAAACGCGCGTATCAGGGATCGTATTCTGACGTTGATTCGCAAACCGATGAGGTAACCGAAATAAAATCTATCGGGTGACATCAGAAGCTCTCGCCTCCGGACGACCGACAGCGGCTGACTGCGTGCGCGTAAACGACGCGCTTTTAAGCGCTGCGCGCGAGAATTATGTCGCGTATGTAGAGCACAGCATATCTGAGGAATCAAACGTGGAGCTAATATAGAATCGCGATCGAGTTATTCTTGACCCTGTTAGCAATTACATGAATGAAATTTGGTCTTCATTATTATTTAAAAATATAGGAATTCAAATGTTCTTTATTTTTTAAGATTTACAATAAATTCCACATTCTTTGAATTAGATAAGTTACATTAATGTTTGATTTAATATAATTTTTAAATGCATTCTTTTTTTGAAAATTATCTTTAATAATTTCCTGCATTCTTGTAGATTCCTAGCGCCTTGTAACGATTAAAACTAAAAAATTAAAGATGATTAATATATGCCTATCGCAATGAGAAATCGTGCGATTACGCGATATGGAACTTAATATGCATGGTAATTAGTTATGCCGTCGTTGTAGAAATTTTTATATTTTATATTGTATTAACGTTGCAATAAGAATCCTAATCGCAGTTTATAATCTGGTAAAGTCCACGGCATCCGTAAGATTACAATTAAAGTTAACCGACTTCAGCGAAACGGACTATCAATAGGTCTGGACTCGAATCAGATAATCAACGTCGATACGATGTTCTGGGAACGCCACACGTCGAATTAACCTTAATTGTGTACAGCGCGCAATTACCGAAGCCTAAAAATTCCGTTTACCTCTCGTACACGTCAGATCTACGCTTCTGGCAGCTATACGAGATCACCGGCGTCACCGCAGTCGGAATATTCGGGTCGTTCTAACGAACAAGAGTCGCGTTCGATGCGCTCATACTCGAGCATCGGCGAGCGTGCCTCTGCCGAGGCTCCCTCGCGGACAAGTCGCATTATCGATCGGATACAATCGATCGCACGTCGATGGCCGACGGTGACTGTTTGGCAATCGCCGCGGCGGTGGCTGCCGCGGATCGACATCGCTAATTACCGTCCGCGCTGATCGATTGCGCCGTTCATCGTATCGTCATTAAGGACACAGACTCGCGTTTCAGGGACATTCGGCTAACTTTAGCCTTTAGCCGGGTCCCGCGCATCGCACCGACGTCTCGCGACGTCGACGTCGACACATCGGGACATAACGAGCCGACGGCCACCAGCCTGGCTAGCCGCTTTTGCCCGTGCAAAATAAAACAGTGTTGCGGCCGCCATCCGGCCGCATGGATAAACCGATAATCCCGTGATCGGACGTGAGCCTTCGCGTTCCGATAATCGATTCCGATTGTTGACGCGACGCTGCGCGTCGCTCACTCGTTTCGGTCAGCGCCGAAAGGCGGAGAAAGAAAAAGAGAGAAATAGAGAGAGAGAAAGAGGGAGAGAGAGAGAGAGAGAGAGAGAGAAGAGGAGAGAGATAGAGACGTCGCATCACACCTTCGTCGACGCGCGAAGACCGTTTACTACGTGTCGGTGGACCAGAGTGATGCGTGGGTGGTCCGGCCCCCCTCTCAGGATCGCGTAATCGTCGTCTGTCTTCCCGGTGACGTCACCGACACCAAGAATTACTACCGTGCTTACGAGAGACCGGTGCTCACGCCGCCGAGACCACGAGGTTGCCGCGTGCGACAGGTCAGAGGCTATAATTCGGATCATGCTTTCAGAAACGAGCGTTGGGATGCCGATGAGTCCTTGGGGGAATGCAGGAAAATGTCCTGGAGAGTGTTACTCAAAGTGGAATCGCCTTCGAATAATATTTCTCTCTATTTGAACGCGATTGTAAAGGCTCCCGCAATATCTCGGATTTGTCTCACGTCAAATATTCCCGCCGAAGGATATCGACAGGAGTAGTCTGAGAATTCTGGTTGAATCCGAAGTAAAAGACGAGCATTGCAATTTTCACGCTCGCATGACGTCCGCCAAATTGTCCTTCATCGACCGGAATACAGAGCTAACCTTGTATATTACAAATTGCGACTGTTCTCGAGAGAGAAGACTCGGATGTTCTCGCGGGAATAATTAATGGCAAGAGATATATGCGTCCGAATCTCGCACGATGTAGAAATCGTGACGACGAAAAGGTAGGCGTGCAACTCTGGAGACTCGCATAATTTCTGCCGGGAGATTTCTCTCTTTCTCTCTCCGCGCGTGACGTCATTCTCCAGGAATTTCCATCGAGATACAAACAAATTGACGACAGCCTTCGTCGATCGGCAAGAACGAAATCTTTCAATTCCGATTTTCGCAAGTTTGATCTAAAAAGAATTTGTTCGTTGCATAGAAGCCTTTCGCTATGTTATTTAAAGACATCAGTGAAGTTAATATTAGCGACACAGCAATTTTACCTGATGAAAAGTGAAGAATTAGATCATCATTTGAAATGTTGCCAGAACATAATTATTTATAGCTAATTAAAGGTACGAGAGGACTTGGATTATGTAACGAAACGCTAACACATCTAGTAACCATCCAGTAACCAAAATAAACAGAAAGTCGAAAGCCACTATCGATGGCCGATACAAATCCTTAAGGAAAGAAAAGATTCTCTCTACTCAAATTTTCACGAATTTCTCGAACGACGAATCTATGCGTGATAAATTTCTTACGAGGATGTGAAGAAGCGTTCGTAAGTTACTCGCATCATTCTCAACCGAATTAATTACCGCGACCGAAGATGGGCTTGTTGCTATCGGTGCTGGTCGGCTGCGTCGGCGTGTTGGAGCTACTAGCGTGCATGAGACACGCGTCCGACGGCGTGGTGATCAGCATCAATCCGCCGACACCGTGCCTGTCGTATCACGATCCAGGTAATAACGACATTCAGAGCATCCACGATTCCCTCTGCAGTTTCAGCCACTCGACCGACGCGCGGCTTCCTCGCGGCGCCCGGCACAAGCTCGAGAATCTGCACGAGTACAGTTTGAGAGTGCGAAACGAGCTCCGGTCCTTGGACAAGAACTTTGACTGCCGAAGCACGCTGTCGGAATGCAGCACCAGGTACTTGCTCGGCGGCTCCAGGCCGGACTCGAGACTCAGTCCGGACTCGAGGCTCAGTCCGGACTTCAATTATCTCGTTCAAGTGGAGGATGAAACGTGGAATGTACGCGTCGAACAGCGCGATGACGATGACGAATATGTTGCAACGAAGAGATCCTTGGAGGACATCAATGCGGAGATCCGGGAAAGCTTGCAACAAGTCGCGCGATCGCTAGATCCGCCGGAGCCGGAGAAATATGTCAGAGTACCGACACCGATTCCGCTCGCCGTCGATGAAGGGGAAATGGCCGCTTCCTCGAGCGAGGTGGATACGTCCTTCGACAAGGATTCGGGCAACGAGGCGCCCACCATGAAATCCTTCGACGGTCTGCCGATTATCAAGAGATACAGAGACTCGCAGTCGGCCTCGTCGGTTGACGAGTCCGATCATGAAGAAAGAACGTTCGCGCGAAGAGCCCCGAGAAAGTCGCCCTCGAAGTCTCCGGATCCCTCGAAAAGAAAATCGAAGAGCGTCGAGGTTTCCAAGACATTGACGCTCGCCGATGATCTTCCGAAAATCGACTCGGCTGCCGGTCCAGCTGTGACCGAAGAAAAGGAAAGCGGAAGGACCTTCGTCAGCCAGAAGAAACCCAAATCTGGAAAATCCTCCACGACGATCCTGAGGAAGCCCACCAGATTGAAATCTAAAAACGCGGAGATCAGTAAGTCGGCGGAGAATTTAAGCACGAAGAAGTCGAAGAGAAGTCGCGATCCCGAACGTCGCAAGTCCGACATATCCGTGCAGACAATGCGTGATTTGTTGAGAGACATGTCGACGAACACGTCGCCGACTAACAGCCCGCCGTTGTCCAGGTCGGAGAGCAAGAAGAGCGTTTCGGTGGAAGTACAAACCACCTTTGAGGACATACCGAACGATGAAGCCTTGGAGGAAATGGAGGACAGTGTCGTTGGACTCTCCGAGAGCGGAAGAGATATGTCTTCTCGAGGCAACTCCGCCAGGAAATCCTTCAAGAACAAGAGATTTCGGTCCAGTTCGAGGGATAAGTCGAGCGATCAAGACAGGCAACCTTACACGACGACCAATGCTGTCGGCTCCGTGGAGAAATCGCGAAGAAACAAAAAAGAATTAAAAGTGTCCAGCTTCGAAGACGCCAACGAAGACGACTACGAGAGAGTCAGAAGTGTTATTTTTGACTCCTCGAAGGAGTCGAACGGCTGGCGTAAAAGAAGGGAGGACTCGAGGTCGAAGTCATCGTTCGAAGAGGACATGACGTCGTACGACGAGTACGTGGATGCGGAGGATGTGAGTTCCGGAAGGCCACCTGTACACTACACAACATGCGACACCGATCAGAACAAAGCATTCTGGGTAATACACTTGACAGTAGAAGCCGTGCATTCCATAATTGTACAAATTTATAGTTTGATACAAATCGAAAATCGATGAATATTTTAATTATTTAAACTTGGATCTATAATAATATAGATAAAAACAGAATATATTTTAAGTTCTTATTGTATGTTATAAAATAAGAGATAAAATATCACAAATTTTTGCATTAAATGATAAATAAATCAGTAATTGAATGATTGTAATTAATAATTTTAATAGATATTTAAAAGAGTTATTTTCTAATATGTCAATATTATTAATTGTAGATATAATATTAATTTAGATTATTTTATTACAATTATAAAATAATTTATTTTATATTTTTATACTTCAAAAATATTAAGATAGTAATTAATTCTTTTTTATTTTTTAAATTAATTGGTTTCGTGCAGTTATGAAGTTCGCGGCTTCTAATGACTACACTACAATACAGAATCACGGTCTTCCTAATTCGAAGCTTCCAAGCACGTACATAAAAATTTAACATCTTCAGCACGTTGCAAGTATACAAATGTAAAAATCACTTGCATTGTCGTTCTTGTCTATGCTTAGACTCTTCCAGATGCGCAATCGAACACGAAGAATGTGGAAAATTCGTGCGATTAAATTGCGTTCTGGCAGTCATCCAAAAATGCAATGTATTTCAGGTTAACTGTAATTTTATCCCGTGTAGTCAAATCATCCAGTCGTCCTACTCCTTTCAAGAGACTTTCTTAATTCAATAGTCTTTTGAAGAAAAATTTCGACAATTTTTCTAAAATCTTCTCTTGATATTTCCAGACTCTTCGCAAATTCCATTTTTTCCTGGCATTTAAATTTTTTCAAACATTATTTAAACTTTATCATACCTTGAATCCAAGGATTAAATATTATTACATACGACATGAGAGATCATGACAAATTCTAACGTGAATGATGCTTGCAATTATGTACAGATAAGTCACTTATCCGTGAAAATAAATCTAGGTTAAATTAAATTCTTAATAAATTAAATTCTTTTATCAGTCTAATATATATTTTAAAGGATAAAAAATGATAAAACAGTAATTATATCAAAATGGTTCGCGAGAGAGAACTGCAAGACATTGAACGGTGTTAAAAAATATTCTATGAAAACGTGTAACACTTCATGTCTATTTATCGAAGTAAAGTAGTTCGTGGTTGACGAAAAGTCGTTTAAGTGAGTTATAAAAAGCTGCTTGAATTTCTTCACTTCCGTCTTCGCAGTCGGTGATGACTGACGTAGCTATGGTCGATCCTCCATTACAATCTACAAGTTGAGTTAAAAAAGCAAGGCTTGACGTACCGCTGGCTATACATTTATAGCTACGAGTGGGCATCACAGCGAATGGAGTTTTTTAATATCCAGCGTATTTGAAGTTTTGGTGACTAACTAAGAATAATCGCTGTTGGTTTTTTTTATTTCGCGTGGATACCAACGTATCAATAAACGTTATTCGACAAGGCGCATTCGACGAACCGGAGTCAATTGTCTTACTTTATTTTTCATATCGCCGTGAGGAAAGTCGCACTCGCGTTCAAACACATTCAACGTCGCGTGGAAATCTCTCACAAGCCGCTTCCGATTTTGCGCAATATTTGTTCCCAAAATATTTCGAATATTTGGCTAAGCAAGTAAGCATTCGTTACTAAAGAGTCCCACGCGCTTCGTCAAACATTTCGTCCACTTTCGAGAAATCGTTGGCCAAGTATTGATATTGCAATGACCCAAATATACAATACAATATCTGACATATTAAATAGAATTAAAAACATGTTACACCAAATGGAAAGATAAATATTTTCATATTTATAAATCATATAGCTACAATAAATTATTTATAAAATATTTAAACACTTGTGCCTCTTGTCACGCAAGAGGGAGTAATTGAAACTTCTCGACAGCAGAGTTTGCTTAGACAGTCAGCTGTTTCAACAGCTACTTCATTATTCCGCCAATTCTCTATGAATCGAGCGATATTAACAACACGCGTGAACGCATTCTATCCGCGGTGTAAAGCAATGATATCCAGGGTGCTTTCAGAAGCAATCACCGCTGAAATTAATTAACCGCCTTACTTCATATCAATCATTTCTCAAGTATGCCGAGGGAATGGATTTCGCAATCGGGCGCTTTCACATCGAAACAGAACGCAAGCGCCGCAACAAAACGCATTTGATATTTGCACGGAGCTTTCGGCGGTGCCGCGGCGTTTATTGGTGCCGTGTGCCTCTCGCGTGGGGTCTCCCAAAATATCAATCTCATACCCGTCTGCAAATAATATACGTATACATCGCGCGCGCGTATCCAGCACGACATTTGCACGACGACGAGACCCGCCGTCGACGTCGGGGCTCATCGGACGCCTCCTTCTTTTTCACACGTAACACTACTTGAATATTTTTAATCCACCATTTTCCGGTCCCTATAATATTATATTACCGACTGGTTGCGGTAATAGCGTTGCTCCGCGCCACGACGTTTCAGTCTTAATTATTACAAATTCAATTATTTACAAACAGTAGTTTGAGCTAGTTTTCGGAATGTTATTTGCAATATTGATAGATTAATGTAATTTTGGTCATACAAATTATAATTTATTTCTTAAAATCTTTCTCTTTAGTAATTTACGATTATCATTCTTTGGTCTTTTAAGCAGAGGAAAAGGAAATTATTAATCTGAAATAATGGTTATTTATATATTTTTCTGGAATATTCTCACGCGCGAATCGATCAGATAGCATTTCGCGTTGCGCGGATTAACGTCCGCGTGAGTTTTCTCTGTGCGTGGGTGGTCAGAAGATATTGGTGATGTGTGAAACATTCCGACCCAATTACTTCTCTCGATTGCTTCCCTCCCTTTCTCTCTTTCTCACTCTGTCTCTATTTTTCGTATGAGTTCTATTTTTCCGCACACCCACGCGCGCGGTTCGGAACCACCTGTTTGGCAGCGGATCAAGACATCGCAACGGCACTTTTTTCGGAAGGTCCAAAGGGAAAAATTCGACAAGGGTTTCTGAGTCACGATGTGATCGCGCATTCCCGTTTTTATCGTCGTGTCGTATAACCGGCAATCTGATACTTTTCCCGAAACAACGTGCGAATAAAGGACAATCTATTTCGACGAGCTAGATACGTAAAATAAAAATAAATAAAGATAAAGTGTTAAACATTACAACGTTACGACATAGAGCATCTTAATGCAAAATTATCAAAAGTCGAGTGGAAGGTTGATCGTAAACGGGTTAGTTTATGGTCGCTCGCCGTCACTCTTAAATATTTATACGTTGCGAACTATCAGAAATCTGTTGTTTGCCCCACGACGCGCCCGCCACTTTTATCGCAAACAATCCATGCGAATAGAGCGGCTAATTTATTGCTTACGTTTTACGAATGAATTAAAATGCGACAAGCGCGAAATTTATACTGCTCTATATTTCATTTGCAAAACCGACAGCTGAATAAGAGTTCTTACTTCATTAAGAACACTTGCAAATAATCCCTAAATAAAAAACACTTATTTAAAACTTATTTAAAACCAACCTGGATTTAAAAATGCTCTGCACTTTTATAAGTCATTTATAGCGATAAAGCGACAGTCAGATGCTAATATTCTCCTATTTTTGTACGTGAAAAGCGAGGTACAATCGCTTTCTTAGATTTTAATAGGAACGATTCGTTCACGAGTCCTTGACTGAATTGTTCGATCGATAGAAGCTCGCAGTCGTAGTAAACTATTAAAACCGATTATTCAAAATGCAATTCACTCGTACTCATGAAAAATGGATTCTCGCCGAGTATTTTCGCGACTGGCCGCAGTGGCGACGACGCGACGACGCGGCATCAACAATTTAACGTGAAGAGGGTAAAGCTGGAGAGAGATGAAATTAACGAAGCGTCAGCTCGCGTCGGTGTTTCCTTATTCCCCCCCCCCCCCCCCGTTCCTGCGGAATTCGCATCAAACTATGTCAATCCTGTTTCACTTCTCCGCGTAAATTGGAGGTACAGGGCGTTCCAAGAATACTCGTAAAAGGAAGAGAAGAAGAGGAAGTTGAGGAGGGGCGGAGATGTCATCGAGAAGATCGGTGACTGGTGAGAAACGTGCGACAGGAGCGACGGGGCGAGCAGGACGAAGAAGCTCAAAGAAGCTCCAAGAAGCACGAGGAAGAAGAGAGAGAGAGAGAAAGAGAGAGAAAGAGAGCGAGAGAGAGAGAGAGAAAGAGAGAAAGAGAGACGAAGAGAAAGAGCAGACGGGCGTAGAAAAGTTGCACCCGGCACACTGCATCCGAGATTCGGAAGGAGGAGAGGTTACGCCGAACGAGAGACGAAGGAGCAAGAAGGAGGGAGGAAAGCGGTCGGACGGTAGGGCGGAGGGTGCGGAAGGACGACGGGGGAAGGTGGCGAAGGGGCGATGGCGGGCGCGCGCGGCGCGGCGCGTTTCTGGAGTCGTCGGGACGCCGAAAATAGCGTCCCGATATGATGACGCCCGGAGCGGGCCGATCCTAGATTTCAGTCAGTTCGCAAGCTCGAAAGCCGCTGAGCAGTAGTAAGCACCGGACCAGTAGTAGTCGTCCCGCCGCTCCGATTTCTTTTTCCAAAGCGACCGTCGAAAAACTCGCGGGCTCCCTCAGTCTCTTTCTTTCTCTCTCTCTCTCTTTCTTTCTTCTCTCTCTTTCTCTCTTTTTCACTTTTACTCGCTCTTTCCCTCTCTCCTCTCTCGTGTCCCTTTTTCCCTTTCGAGAGAGCCGCCCAAATACGATAGTCCTCAGTTGATTCTGTCGCCTAGGAGAGAGCGCATCGCGACGACAGAAGGCAGACAGAGGGTAGAACGCAGAGATGGCGGACGTAGACAGTGTAGTGTACACGACCACCGAGCGCAAGGTGCGCAAAGTGAAGAAGACGACGAAGCGCCGGGAGAGCCAAGACCAGAATGCGTCGGAGGTCACGATCACGGAGGTCGACAGCACGCAGAACAACCACCACGCCATCGAAGAGTATGTGCTGGCTGACGATATAGTCCGGCAGACCCGCATAGCCTTTTTATCATCTTATCTTTCTTGCTCCTCTTAACGGCGATCCGCAATTGTTGTCGTCGTCGTCGCGATCGCAGCCGTGCCTCGCGTATTCTTCGGGAGCGGAAATCCTGAAAGCGTTGTCTCGAAAGCGTAGCGAGAATGTAGTTCAAACAACATAAACGTTTAAAACTGGTAGCGCTAAGCTCAGCGCTGATCTTCAGCGTTAAGTGAATCTTTTCGTCCGTCTGAAATAAGACTACAGTTTGAAAAACGAATAACAAAGCACTAACGAAGAGAGGATGAAAGGATAGCGAGCTAAGTTCACTTAACGAAGACTGTTGTTGCAACCAGCTTAAAATAAGATGTCCAAAAGACGTTCCAATGTTTCTAGTATTAAATGTCTTTTTCGGATATCTTTTGAACTTTAATGTTGTTTGAAAAACTGTGCTCGATACAATTTTGATAACTTCAATGTTACGCGGGAAATTTCGTCTCACGGCAATTCAAATTCTAGAGCATCAGAATTTGATCTTATTGAAATTATATCAATCTCAATTGCCAGTCTTGTTACACTCTTTAGAATTCATTTGCACAAGCTGATAATCGTATCGCGCGGAAATCGAAACAGCGTGTCTCCGCTCTATGTTTCATTCTGTTCGCGTCCTGATCGTGCTTGAAAAACGGTAGCGCGTTTAATTCCAAACATCCTCCTTCACCCCAATCGCTCGCAGCAAACTCGGAGCGATTTACGAGCAGCCGAAAATACTCGAGTGAAGAAAGATTAACTTCAGATATCGCGTATTCATTTCGTCACGCGAAGATCGCGCTTCTCATATCTAAAATGATATCGCTCGCCTCGAATGATCTCCTCCGGATGTCCTCTGACATTTCGTGACTGCGGGCAACAATTCAAACGTACCTTACCGTATCTTGACGATTTTTATCTTGACGAGATATAGGAAGTCGCTCACAGAATCAAAGTGTCGAGTCTTCTGGGATCATTCGAGAAAAGAGACGTTCCCTTCTCACAAGCCGATCATTTTATCACCATTTAAAGTCCACTAATAACCCTTTTCCACTGTAAAAAAAGCCGGAAAAAGTGTATTTTATTTTCCCAAAACGGTAGTAACGAGAGAAGGAAAATTCCATTTCACAAAGATTTTTGAAGGAAAATGCTTTCAAGTATACTTTATTCTTCAAAGAGCGCAATGGGAATACCTCCAGCTTTTTTCTGCAGATTAACATTTTTCAAAAACTGATAAAGTAGATGCCCTTGAGAAAGCAAAAAAGAACGCTCCTTCAATTCGCGCGATGAGAACATTCGAGACAAGATTTGTACAGTCATATACGTGTCACGATAGATATGACTTTGTACAGAAATACTCAGCCAGCACATACAACAGCACTCATCCAAGGTACATATTACCAGCACGAACCAGCGACTTCGTTCGACATAATTGCGCACGGTACACGATCGATAGAGGCGATCGAGGAACCCTCGAACTACCAGTCAAATACAATGGAAAACACGATACTGTGAGAGAAGCGTGCAATTTCCTTTCTGTGCTGCTTCGGAACTTTCGGATATTTTGCATCGTTTCCCATGAAATTACGAGAAAATGAAAACGACTATTGTGTGTGATTCTTCACCCGTTATCATTAAAATCTCATAAATCGACGTGGAAGCGCAGACCGTCAGAAATGTGTATAAATATTTTAGTTGTTTTTAATCAATTGAATATTGAAAGGCATAACTCACGACTAGAATTCACAAATTTTGCAAGTAAGCTAAATTGCAGCACTTAGCAGCTTTTCAATCGGATTGAGTTCGAAGAACCTGGATTCAAGTCACCTCAATTCAAGTCGTTAATCTATTCTTTCTTATATACAGAACATAAAATACGTTCACATATGACTACTGCAAACATAAACTGTAGTTAGTTACAAAAGTTTAACATGAAAAATACATTTGACAAGCATCACATGGTAAACAGAACCATCAATATGTATTGTGAACATCGTGCACATTTACGCTATTAGCAACCAAAGTCAAAGTATCACTACGCAAACAATGGGCAATATTCTCTCTGAAAACCGATTATAATGATTTACATAAAGATATACAAAGCAATGCAAACAACGTTTCTTCTTTTCAATTACTCACACGCAATATAATTGTGGAGTGAGGAATTATAAGAAGCTGAATATTATTTTTCAAATATAAAAGTTTAGAAATTTTTTGTAAATTTGATTATTATGTGAAATTATATGTTCACTATTTCAATAACTTTTTGTAATATTATAAATGTGTGGATGTGATTTTTATTCTCTGAAGTAATGTCATATTTTATACAACAAAAGTAAATTTTTTAGCACAATATGAGTTTTGATAGCTTCTTATAATTCCAGAGTTTGAAGAGCATTAAATTAGAATTAAATTTGATTCAAAATCATTGAACAATAGATTGAAGTAACATTATCGAGACGACTTTGTACGAACGTGTCATGTATTCTAAATGCTTGGTATTCGCGTTGCAGTTGATTTTCAGTGGTGAATTCACAAAGGCGATGAACAAGGAATGGCACAGCGGTCACTTCTGTTGCTGGCAGTGCGACGAATCCCTAACAGGACAGCGCTATGTCCTCAGGGACGAGCATCCCTACTGCATTAAGTGTTACGAGAGCGTTTTCGCTAATAGCTGCGAGCAGTGTAGCAAAATCATCGGCATCGAATCTAAGGTAATTCTATTACATAAAAAATATTTTTATTATTATATCTCTGTTATACCAAAAATATTTTATGCGTAGATTGTATTTAGACTCGGGTCTTTATTTGTTAAAAAAAATTATCTAAACTTTTCTAAAGTTCTAAATGTAGAAAAATCACGATTCACATGTTAATATTATGGTGACAAATTACAGGAATAAAAAGGATTAAGATTAGAGAATTAAGTTCGCTCACAAAATTATTCTTTTTAACATTCCTCAGCTTAGATTATACATTTCGCGATGTATACGCGAACCATAAATTACTCCGTTGTCCATCGCATAGCCTAAAGACGCAATTAGTAACCGTTGAATGATTACGAGACCAGGTGTCAATAGATAGAGAGGTATGGGCGTTGACTTACTCACTTCTAGAAATAGAAACGATGATGCAGGTGCCGGCTACCCGTATATTGGCTCCGAGCACTGATTTCCGCTCTCGCGTGCGCGCGCGATCGCCGCAGTTATTGTAATATTTCGTTCACTCCTACGCATAAAAATTGTCGACCTGTAGCGGCAATGTGAGCATAGAAGTGAGTTATTTTCCTCACAACCATCGTCACCACGCGAATTATGTAATCCACGTGATTAATAATTCTTGCAATCGTAGCGCATCCGCAACGGTTTCGAGAAATAAACTTTATTTAGATATACCGCATATGATAGTGTTTTAAAAAAAAGTTAATTAAATCCTTCTGCAGTATACGATTTTATAAACTGTTAATCGTGATTCTAAAAGGAATTTTTGTAAGTTGTTGAAATTTAAAAACTTTTTTATGACCCGAGTCTTTATCTGTTGAAAGAAATATATTTGAAAGTGTCTCAGTAATTATTTTTACATATCTAGAAACAAAGCAGTAATTTATTCAAATACGTTTGATGAAATAATTGCAAAATAATCCTTTCAAATAATTGCAGAGAAGAGTTAAAATAAAAATCGAAGAGAAATATTAGTCGAAGAGAAAAAAAAATGGGAAGAAAAAGAAAACGTGAAGAGCTAACGCGGTTGAATGTTGAATTTCAGGATCTGTCGTACAAGGATAAACAGTGGCATGAGGCTTGCTTCTTCTGCACCAAATGTAAAGTGTCCTTGGTGGACAAACAGTTTGGTAGCAAAGTGGACAAGATCTACTGCAGCAACTGCTATGATGCCCAATTCGCCACCCGTTGCGATGCATGCGGCGATATCTTCCGTGCCGGTACGTAATTCTTAACATTGCTAATTGTAAGTCAACATTCCTCACGATAAAAGGTGTCTTTAAAATGTCACGGGACTTGAGTTAGTTCTTTTAAATGTAAACACGCTTCATGATTTATTTATGTCTGAAGATATTGCAGCTCTTTATAGCTGTTCATAGTATGCACAAACAGAAAAATACAATATTATCATTGTTATTCGACCTCCTTAAAAAACCATTAAAAGTGAAACTTTGAATAAATTAGATATAAAATTTAAATATTTCTGAAAAAGAAATTTTTTTATCTACATTGATACCTTATATGCTTATATTATAATCATAATTTGCATAAAAAATTTTTAAGCAAAAATACGAAAATAGGAACATGTATCTATATTTCTGAAAATGATTATAGATTTCATACTAGTAGTCTCTATAGTTTTTTGCATCGTAAAATTGAGGACACGTTGTTAAGATCGAACGAGTTTGAATAATTCCGGTAAAATCGGTAACGCGAGAATAAATGCGAATATAAAAATAAATACGCAATGTGACGTGTAGCCATCAACTTGATCGATATACATAACGTAAACGATAAGCGCTTTAGACGTTTAAGACTATCATCTATTCTTGTCTTTTCACTGGATGACTACATCGCCAATTACATCACGAAACGCAAATGAACGTGAGAAGAATTTGAAGTGAGACAAATGCGGAATATTGTCAGTTATGACAAACAATGAAAGATCGGGTTAAAAACAAATCTTCCAGTGATTGCCACTTATGACTGTCTTAACACCTGTTCTTGATCGATCACTGGCGAATCGTTCCCCGACAATGATTCATGGCGTCGGGTATGAGCGCGAGCGAGCAACGGAGAAAGACAGAAGCGATAGATCTTGCATTCGGCGTTTCTTTATTAAGGTAACGGAGTCAAGGCTCCGACTCCAGACACGGGCCAATTATTGTCAGCCGTTTTAAGACTTTGAGTACGTCATTTCTACGCCTAATTCGCCAGCTCTCTAATAGCATTAAATTATTTTTGCATAAACATCTTGATTAAATTGCGTCTACGTGTCTCGCGCTCTTAGAGATCTTGTCCGACATCTCCTGAAATGGAATCCCTTCGTAGAACAATTTCGAAGTCAGCGTTCTTGAACGCAAGCACTTTTCCGTCCGCAATGATTAATGATAGACAATTGAATCGATACGTGTGTAGGCGACGGAAGCTCTCGCCTGGCGAGGTAATTATGTTCGAGTTTTAAAACGCATTCTGATTCGTAGAACTATCGCAGTTAATCATTTCTCCCCAATATAATTCGACGTTAAAAAAGAAGAAGCTGCATTTCAACAACAGACGAATATATTCTTCATCAAGATCCACCTCGCGCTATTCTCGCCCCGTAACCGCTCGTTAGGAATAATTCGCGTGACACATGGAAGGTCAGACGGCGTGGGAGTCGGAGCGAATCCCAATTTCACTTCTGACAGATAAAAAGGATTAGCTGACGTGAGCCAATCGAGGAATCGTCGGCGCAAATGATTTGGTACCAGCGTGTGTCCGTATACGGGACTCAACATTTCGCGAGCTACATATTAATCTTGTTAAATTTGAGTCGAATTCGTGATACTACGAACATACCATCTGTTCGCGCTTTAAGATTTCCCAGATTATTCTCGGCATTTATGTTTTTGCCACATTTCCTGTGTCAATGCTGACCGAAGAGATTATCATTTAAAAAAGCTTGTATACAAAACCACAGGTGAAATATTACAGAAAACTACTAACTAAAAAAATTACAAATCATTAATTATCCAGTAATTTTTAAATGCAAGAATTGCTAACATAAATATATCTTATATAGCTTTTTTCATGTTAATTGGAATGATAAAAGCTGAAAATCACGTATAAATGAATGTTAAAAAAGTGAATTTATTTTTTTTAAGATGAGATTCAATAGAGACCTTTAATTTGAATCTCTTTGATATTAAAAACTTAATTCGTGAAAAAATTTTATCATATTCAATCGTTTAGAATTCGAAAACTGTTAAAGTCGTGTAATATGTTTGTTGTAAAAAAAATTGATTCCAAATTAGGTAGAGACCTATCGTTAAAATTGAGGTCGGGGTTCTGCGCAATTCCGTATATGGAAACGTGTTGCGTCAAACGAATATAATTCGATCGATAATCGAAGTTCGTAATATGTGGAATCCATAAGAAACTACATGCAACGTGACTGCGATAGAAACATCCTAATTAAAAATGAAATGCGCGATATGGCATTAGTCACCACTGCGTTAGAGATATTCAGTTATTATATTTATCACTTTGCTCTGATAAACTTGACTATATTGAAACTATTGATATATAATAAAGAATTTTTTAATTATTTTTTTCATTAATTTATAACTAATACTAAAATTATTATATTATATATATACACATATATACACATATAGAATTATTCTATGGATATTTTACGCCGTTTAACTTTCTGGTTATGTTAATTTTTCTTGGCTGAAAAGGCGGATTGGTCGGATACTAAATTGGATGTTTCTACAGTGCGTCTTTGATCAGCGCGGCTTCACGGTCGAAATCTGGAGGCGTGCTTCCAGATATAATCCGCGGTCATAACCAGGGATGGTAGAATGCCTCTCTCGTTGGTTATATAGCGGCCAAGTTATCACACGGTAACACACGTTGCGCCTGCTCGCAACGGTGACTCCAACGAGAGCCGAAGAGCGGTCTGCCTTCAGTCTTCAGTAACTCGCAAGACCTCGGCTCAATCGCACGTCCAGTTCTCCACGATTTCTCTCTCCTCTCTTTTCACACCACTTATTTCGCGCCTTCATTAATACATTTCATCTACGAAATATTTAGACTTGGAAATATTGAGGCTTGTCGAATCAAAATTTGACATGTGGTCAAACAGTCCGCTTCCGCTTAACTATTTCGATTAAAAATAATCAGAAATTATATTCGCGAATATTTCGCGTAGGTTTATTTCCAGATCGTTGATCATGATCGCAAATCAGATGCAATTACGTTCGTCGCAAAGAGCCGAGTAAAGAGACGTGCAAAAGTTCTGTTGCTGTTCTGAAAGTTCGTGTAAACTTCGCGGCGGCCGGTGGATGCACGTGTTTGTTTGCATAACGATTTGAGAGAGAGAAATTCAATTGCGAGAGGAAATATGGCCACCGACGCGTTAAGTGAGCGACTGTCGAGCAAGCTGCACCTGCAAACGAAGACGGTGGGCGAGGAGAGAATCAGACGGGCGAAAGAGAAGGATGAAGACGTCGCGATCTTCAGCATGTTCCCCATGGAGGGCGACCCTAAGTTTAGATGCTGTTTGGGCAAGGATTGCCTGCTCGGGGACCCAAAAAAAGCAGATCCAGGTGACGATCGCACTGATCTGTCTCAAGTGTAATTTATATAACGCAGCGCCGTAAAATTAATATTCATTAATATTATAATCAAAGTAATATAAATATCAGGACCATATTTGATATACATTTTTGCACCAAATTTGCATTGATGGGGAAAAATGGCGGAAAGAAATTAGGACGACTTTTTAGGTAAAATAATAAATTTTTTGTGTCGATCGATTTGAAAAACACGCGAGACGTCAACTTGTTTCGTCGTTATGGTAGCAGCATGCTAGTAATTTTTAAGAACTTCGCCGGAAATGAAAGCGGTTTTATATTACGGACGTCGTTCAATGTACTGCAGTATTCATATAATATATTGCCGTGATGCGGTCGCAAACTGCTGCAGATATATAAGTGTCGTTGAATATTTATCGGGATATATTAACCACATGTGAAATACTCGCAAATCTAATAATTCTTATTCGACTGACAAAAATTACGTTTAACGTTAAAAAAATGGAAAATCAAAAGTCACATTTGACTAAACATGTCGACCAAATATCAAAATTAAAAAAGAATATAACGAAGATACACATAAAAAAATGTCCACGTTAATGCACCTGATAGGATTTACTTAAAGGTCACAGAGTCTTTTATCTGTCTCTGTGTACACACATTGCAAAATGAATGCAAGGCGGGGGCGATGGATTCCGCCTTGCGTTCAAGGTCTATTTAACGCCGAAAGAACCAGCTGGTAGTAAAAGCTGCCAGAAAGTCGAACGTAGTCGATATTGGCTTAGCGGAGAAAGAGAGAAAAAGAAAGGGAAGAAAGGCCTCGAGCGTGACCTTATCAGGAAGCACAAACACGCGTGTGGCTGTTTGATTGTGTACAATGGATTCGATTAACTTCGCTAATTGCCACCTGATGCAAAGTCTTAGTTCCCAAACGAACCGGCATCGGATCGATGCGCCTGATGCGAGGCGTTCGCTCGACTTTCACGCAAGATTTAGTTTACCCCGACGCTAATGCGTTTGTTCTGTAATTATCGGTCCCCATTCTCGTTATCGGCGATGATAATACCCGCGCGGAAGATTACCAGCGAGTATCTCCTCCGCGTGCACGTCTGCGTGTGGGTTTGCATGGTTGCGCTTAAGCCGAACAAATATTTGCACGGAATCGCAGCGGACAGAAAAATCGAAAAAAAAAAATCACGGTTATGCGACGCAGAATGCTGCATTACACGTCTCTATTCTTTTAATTTAATCACGTGGCACAAACGAGTGTGACACGCAAATATGGTTATTCAAATCAGCCACTCAATAGTATCATCAGCGATAGGCACGCGGGAATCATCTGTAAAAATAGCTTCCATTTTTCGAAACGAACGAGCTCGATGCGTGAGTCCGAGTTAATCTTGAAAAACAGTTAGGGGAAGATAATTTAATTCGATAAGCATAATAGGTCTCGCGAAAATGAATAGACTCCTTTGATCGCTTTGTACGTCTAAATAATTACTTTTGTCTCTTTGTGAAGATCATTTAGCAGGCAGGCGTAAAATCAATAATGATGCTAGTTTAATTTGCCGTACTTATTAAATCACCGTTCAAATTTTATGCCGCATCGATATTTGATGTAGATAAGTCTAATTATT